AAAAGGGAGAAAAAGGAAAATGTTGTGACACTAGATTTATTATCAAAAAAATTTAGATAAGAAATAGTACTGAACACATAGAGAATTAAATATTACTGCTTTTTATATTTTCTGCTGATCTTCTATTTGTAATTACATTTATTAATTAGGGTGTAACTATCCTAAATAGAGCTTTTCAGAAAAAAAAAAACCAACAACATAGAATGCAACACTCAGAGAACGTTTCTTGAATAAAATGAACAATCAGATATCTAATAAAACATATTATGTGAATAAAACATAATATTTTGCCGTTGACTATCAGAGTCCAACTTGTCTCTTAGCAACATGATACAGACATTTTGTTTAAAGCAAAGCACAGAAATTGGTCACATGCTTTATCTTGCACAAATTGTGTCTTTAATTCTTTTGTTAAATATTCCATTTATTTTGGTCATAATTCCAAAAGAAACAATTTGTTCAAACTGTTCAGCCAAACACAATGTCATTTGGCAAACCACTGTGGTCCTCCATAAAGCCAGTTCTCTAGAGAAAATTGTTTTCACATATCAGTAGTCCAACATCTACAACATGCTGATTTTGAAATCTAGGCACATGGAGTTGCTCTGCAACTTTCTTCAGAGGAACTCAAGTTCACTTCCTGCAACCAGCAATGTCTGACAAGACAGAATCAGGTGAACCTCCCTGGGCTTAAACAAAGACTCAAAAAGATTGCCAAAAAAGCAGTATTTCTCCCTTTGTATTAATTTTAAGGCTGATCCCTGGTTAATATTTAGCACAGTCATATGGCAGTACCACTGTTTATGTGTTGCAGGCTTACAAAGTATGGTGATGAACCCAAGACAAACATCTTGTCCTAGCCACAGACTCAATCTGTCCCCCTTAATAACTGGTGATTTGTGCTGCACTGCGTCCTCCACAGAAAAGACAAGTATCCCGAGATGCCATAATTTGGTTGGTATACTATTAATTGCCTAATTTTAAAAAATACAAATTTGACACATTTTAACACTGTTTTAAAGCAGAGTACAACTGTCACACTGCTGGATCAAAATTATCTTCCCTGCATTAACAATTTGGGTAAGGTACTGAAAAAACCAAGCATAAAGTGTACAGGAAAAAAAAAAAATCTTTCAGCGATCTCAAATAGCAGCACACAATCTCTAGGTTCTAGATATTTTGGTTTATTCCACAGTTATTTGCTGCAATAAGTGTTTCAGATCAGATGTGCAGCCCCTCATTACACGTGTGACCTTGTGCTAAAAGTCTGAAAGCTCCAGGAGGGTATTTTCTGCCTTCTGCACTGATTCCAAAAGCTGTGAATAAACCCTGAGTCCTGTTATATGTGATGATTGTAATTCGCGCCAATATAATATTGTTATATTTGATTCAGGAAAGCGTGGTATGATATGTGCAATATTTTATATTGTTGCAAGCACTCACGCCACCACTGAGAGCTGCCCCCACATATCCGAAACCGGTTTCTGACAAAAAGTCATTTGCAATCTAATAGATGAGGCTCGCCCGGAGATGGGCTGTTCCTCGAGGTGATACAGGAACGCCCCGGCGCCCATCATCCCGGCAACGACCCCTAGACTGGGATCGCTGGAATCCTCCGGGCTAATACATCTGAAAGCCAAGGTTCCTGTAAAATCGCCACACCTGGACCCGGATTGTTCAACCACGCACAGAGAAAGTAAACTTTATGAATATATGGGACTTTGAATGCGAAGAAAAGACGGATTGCTGAAATCCCGGCCTCGGGCAGAAGATTTGCTGTAAGAACAACTGGGCGGTGTGCGTGTCCAGGGCAGCCTCTGCCGAGAGCCCGGGCTCGGCACTGGCCTTTTCCTTGTGGCTGCCTCAGAGAGAATTCGATATAAAATAAAATTTTCATTATTTCACCTTTAATTTGGCTGGACCAATTTTTATGTCCAACAGTGCCAAGTGCAGGAGTTGTCCTTCAGCACCTCTGGAAGCTCCCACAAGAAGGACACGCACTATCATTCCTATGGCTGCTGGAGGGGGAAGGAGTGCCAGGGGCTGTTTGTCCTGCGGCGCTGCCCAGCCCGGCAGGAAGGCTGGCCCATGCCCCTGGGCCCGGCACTCCCGGGTCCAGCACCTCAGCCCTGGCCCCGCTGCACTCCCCGCCCAGCAGCGGAGCTTCCTGCGGCTGGAGGAAACCTGCTGGAGCTGGCTGGGCAGCACGAATGCCTGCAGCTGATTGCCCTTTCTGTGCGGGCTGTGGGGATGGAAGCCGCTGGTCCAGCACAGGAAAGCTGCCAGGCACGGCCAGAAACGGCCTGGAGGAAAAGAGGGAAAAGGAAGCGCCCAGGAGCTCCCACTGCCCCAGCTGCATCCGTCCCCTCCCTCCCCCATTTCCTCACATAAAACGCTGGACAGAATATTTTACTGATTTGTTAAATTATGCTGAAAGGCTCTTCCCCTTCCTCACTGAAGACACAGCCCTTCAGTTTTGCAATTTATTTCAATATCTTTTATAAAATGCATATTTTATTGTTAATTAACAGCTCACTGTATTGCTTTCCCCAAACTGATTTCTATACGGCAATTCTGTTTCAAGGAATCCCTTCCATTTTGCTGGAAGCATTTTATAAAATTCATTAGAAAACAGTAAAATAGCAAAATAGCTGCAAGCTTCAGCTTTTTTTTTTTTTTTTTTTTTTTTTTGCTGTTTTCTGGCAACAAATATAAATGTGTCTTAAATTGGAGACTCCTTGCAGCCTTTTCCCTTTACTAGGATATCTGTTTTACAGTCTTTATACTCTTCATTTCTCATAATAAAGTTTGTTACTATGACCAAAAAAAAAATCCACTAAAAATTATAAACTGTTCTAGTTATTCAGTTGTTCCATGACCCAGCCATCAAGATTTGAGCTTCAACATATTTTTGGAAGTACTAAAGGAAGATAACTTGGGTACATTTTTAGACAAGCCTATTTACTTTTGCATTTTTTACAACAGTTGATTTGACATTACAAGAAACCCCTGACAGACCACAGCCAGAATCCTAAGGAAAGCAGCAAAATACCTGATCATTATCTATAGATAACAGAGCACAAGGTTCCCTGTCCAGTCATCAGGAGAGACACTGGCGCAGGTCAGGCACAGTTTAAGTGCCCCAGTGGGGAAGATGGAAGGGATGCAAGGAAGATGGGAGATAAAAACAGACCATATTCTGTTAGTTATGGAACTGCTTGTTCAAACAAGAATCCAACAGTCTCTATCTCTGCCTAGTTACAGCATTTCCAAAGTTATTGAAAATTAAAAATAAGAGAAGATACAGCTCAAAAATCACAATCTGGAAAAAGTTAAGGTACTGTTCAGATTTTGCACCATGTATGAGCAGAAAGCAAAGGGAATTAGGGGGTCAGCAGGCCTGTAGGGAATCTCCCTTGCTATTTAGTAAATACTTTTAATTCTTTATAATACCATGGTAAGCTTATTGAGCCGCAATCCTTGTGACTGCTTTGTAACATTGTAACTTCTAAACTGCTACCCAGTTTACGGATTTTAAAAACTGCAAAATGCTGCATTTTTAGATGTAGATCTGAAGATGAAGTAAGATCTTGTGGTTTATACATAAACTGAGCATCCAGAAATGCAAACAGAACTTCAAAAGAGGAGAGACTGCTCACCTCCTTTAGACATCTACTCTGTAATCTTTACCAAATAATTTAATCTTTCTATGCCTTCATTTCCCATATATAAAACAGGGTTATACTTGCTGTAAAGGATAAAAGCTGTCACATGTCTTTTTAAAAACTGTCACAGAAAAAACTCTAGTTATAAAACAACTTGTAGCAAATATTAAGGAAAACATTAATTTTCTGTTATCCAGAGCAAAATTTACCCAAATATTCTCAAACATTTTATCTGCTAAGCAGTTTCATTCTTTATACAGGAAGTGATACCACCAAGTCCACACCTTTACCTCTTTTTAAATTAGCTTTATAAATTTACCAGTTCAGTAAGTTTGTACTACATTATCAAGACAGAGACAAGAAGATTCAGACATACAACTCATACCCCTACCTGAGACTACAGCTTAGATCGCCTGTCAAATTTTGAGCAAAGTATAAAGGATTCATGTTTCACTGACTTACATTTAGTATGGCAAATAATGACAGTTACATGTACATAAGCATGTACATTTTCATAACCTAGACAAAGACAGAAGTCCTATGGCAAATGCAGTGACTATATAATCCATTATAATTTTTTGGCTTAGAGTATTTTCCAGTGTTAAAATACACTCAATCAAATCAGATTATTGATTTCTTTAACTTTGGTATTAAACAAATCAAACAAATTTTGTGAGGAAGACCTCACAAAAAGGTATGACAGCTAACAGATGATGCCAGCCTGGACTGTGACAATCCATCACAAATCAGTATGAGCAGAGCTTTGGCACTGAAGCCTGAGCTGTTGAATCACAGAGGCTGGAAAACTGTCAAAGGCGTAGCACTGCTCACCCAGAGAGGGTGTGGGGCACAGCAAAAGGACTCTTGGCATCATTCTCAGGACAATATTTTGTCTCATGCAAAGACTGGCTCCAACAAGTTCTGAAGGAAGCTTTGCTCAGGCCTTCTCTGCAGGGGAACATATTTTGTGCCCTTGATGGGACTCTGGGGAGGAGTTCAGCAGATGCCTGAGATAGCTCTATACCTAAGCAAAGTGAATGGTGAATGCGTGACTACATCTCTGTGTATGAAAATAATAAATAGGAGCAGTTAACATGAGAAAGAAGATGGAGAAAATTTCTGTGAAAAGAATAAATAAGACAGGGATAGAAGAACTGATGTATGATCCCATCTTCTCCTTAGAAAACAAGAAAAAATAATCTTGCAACTAAAAGTACCTTGATTTTCTCACTTGACAGTATTGGAGATGATATCCTCTAAGATGTGAGCCTGAAAAATTAATTTCATATTAAAAGAATTAGATCTTTTACAACTCTGACAATAACACCACAAAACTCAGATCACTAATTAAGTTTACTTTATTTCGTTTAATATTGCATGCATTTTAGACAGTGACTCATATTATTTACTTGCACAAGTAGTCATTCGCAATGTACAAGTAATAACCATTGCTTTTACAGTGGAATTCATTAGCATGCACTTCACACAATTGTGTGTAAAGTTATTTTTTCAAGTTAGAAAATATTAAGGTAGTTATTTCTAAATTGATTTTATACATGGAGTTTAATTTTGGTTTTATGCAGGCATTGCATAGTTGATGCTTAGCTTCTCCAGAAAGACTCGAATGTGGTACCAGTATTGTTGAAACAGATCAAGTGACAGTAGCAAACAAGAAGATTTGAAGAAGAGGCATAACTTTCAGGGTTGAAAGGTCAGCAAGTACAGCCTAGGATGAAAATCAAAAAGGCTTGTTAAATTTGACATTTGAATCAAATTTCCTTAAGGCAAGTTAAGAAGTCAGGAAAATATTCAAATACTGACTACAATATGCCAATAATTAGATGTAGACATGGCTAGAAACAAATTATACTGGTTTATGTTAGTACTGTATGGCATAAATTCTCATTCTAACATTTCAAAGAGAAAAACACGTTCACCCAATGTATAGTATGTAACTTTATTTTAGCCTTTAGCCTTACTTCAAACATACAAGGCATCATGGGTGAATAAGGAGTCTAACATTTCAACTTGTTTCTAAAAATAATTGGGAATTAAGAATCCTTATACTGTGGCTTGGCTAGTACTTGTGAATTAAGTCCAATTTAATGCCTCAAATACTCAATGTCTTCTCATGAAAGTATATTTTAAAAAAAAGCCAAAGAAAGTGATCACAAACTCTCTAAATCTGTAACAAATCAATCATTTTATTTTGGAAAAAAAAATAAAAAATCAACACATGACTATATATAGTAATAATCTTCATGCTAGTAACTTCATTTTCTACATTTCCTATGGCAGTACGCACAGTGAACTTTCAGATTCACACTGACAAAGTAATCCTGTAAAATTTTTGTAATTTGTAGAACAGAAGCTTTTACTTTTTCTGAGGAAAAGAGTACAAACCTCTGCAATATTTCAAAAACAATATATCCCACTAACACAGATTATACATTAAAAAAAACTTAACTGTAAAAATAATTTTTTAACACTGCATTTTTACAGCAAATATACTTTATTTCCTTTTACTCCAGAAAAGCAACATTATGTACTGCATGTTCACAATTTCCTTATTTTTTATCTAAGGTAAGAATTTAGACAGAAAGATTTGCACTATGCACCATGTGCCATATGAAGCTTAAGTTACTCCTACTGGCAAAGCATCAGAAACTATTTCAATCTCCTCTAAGTGAAACTTATCCTTACTTCAGCTGCAGCCAGTGATGTCACCTCCATCAGGTTGACTGCTCGGAAAGCAAACACAGCAGCTGCCAGGACTGAAAGAAAATGTCCAATATTTAGGTTTCTGACCTGATAAGTAGTGGTTAGAATTAATCTTGATATAAAATACCAATTTTCACTTAGTTTAATTATTTTGATTCTGAAGAATAATATACAACACATGGCCATGTTTGAGTTTCATTGACCACACTTTCAAACAGACAGGAAAAACACAACAGGAAAAAAATAGGAAAAAAACAACTTTCAGGAAAGTCTGAGTGAAAATGCCTGAGTTTAAGATTAATAAGATTAATAGCTTTTCATTAAAAGGGACAAGCTCTCTTACATGTACAAATGAAACCAAAACCTTTTCTCTTCTCCTCACCTCCTTTGTATTTAGAAACTGACTCAACTGAAGATATATGTTTTCCTTAAAACCTCCATCTTAAATCTTCCTAAATATGAGGACATTATTTAGCTACAAAACTTCCAATGTGTCTTAAAAGATGCCACTTCAAAGGAAGAAATCCAACAAAATCAGGGGGACTCTCAATTGCTTTAAGTACTGTAGGTAGCTGCCATAACTAACATAAATCTTGTGAAAGGTGATGAATTAATTTACCACTACCACTGAAGTTGGGAGAACATCCTGTGTTCTGTTCAGAGAGCACTTAGCATTTTTTGAGTATTGCCATTAAAAAAATTACCTGACATATTTTTATTAAACATGCAGTACTCATGCAATTCCATTTTTCTAAATGATATATGCTTTGACATGTATGTAACCTGCTGTTTGCATTCAAAGAGCAGCTATTTTCTTCTCATCACAAAATACACTGAATCTAATGAGTATTGGCCTTACATTCACACAGACTTCACATGTTTTTGTAAAAATAATTCTTTTACCAGCAAGAATTTCTAGAGAATTGTATCCCAGGATTCTGTCCCACAGAAGCAAGAGCTGGTCTGTAGCTAAATAACCAGAAAATGCTCGTACCATCCATTTAAATGAAATTCGTAGCCTGCAAACAAGTGACAAACAATGGTTATTATATTTCTGCCTCCCATAATGATCAGATTGTCTATAAATTGAAAATATTCATTATCCTTCTGCATTTCTCTTCTCTTCCAGGAAGAATAGCATTTTCTGTTGCTGCAGTAATAATCAATATTTTCATTTGCAACAGCCATAATAAAATTATTTAGCATCTTATTTGATAAAGTACTAATATGATTCTCATAATTGTTCTGATGAAACAATCATATTAGAGTGATCTTCAGCTATTATCACCCTCAATGTTTCATCCTTTCTACTATTATGCTATTAAGATGGATACCAATTAAGACAAAAAGGTTTTCAGGTTCTCTTGTGCCTGGCGCCATGAATTCATTATTAAATGACTCTTGCTCTCTTGCCTCTTCCAGTAGCTTCTGCTGCAACTAACACATCTCTGTGTCTTCTGTCTCCTAGGAAATACATAACTTAATTCCATCGGATACAACATGAATTGCTGAAACTTAGCTGAACAGTGCAGCATAGAGCATTTCTCACAGAGCAATTCTCTCTTTTGCAGAGCATGCAGAAGAAATGCATAAAGCACAGTTTCTCAGGTTATACAAAACACTCCATCTGACTCTCAAGGAAAAATGGGGCACTGATGGTTATACTTTTGTGCAATTTCCTACAGATCTTCAATTAAAACACTACAGAACAGCATTTTCAGAATAATAAATGTGCATTTGTTTGTATTGAAAAAAATTTGTTACAAAATTTGAATATTTGTAAAAAGTCAGAAAGAAGTACTTACGGCTGAGCTCCAATTTCTCGGAGGTGATAGAAGAGCTGGGGCAGATGGGTTTGTAGAAGAGTCTCAAAAAGCAAACACAAAGATACAATGCCCTAAAGAAACAAGATCATATCATTAATACTAATACTCATCCTGTCAAATCCGAGAAAACAGTAGCAGCATGTAAGTGTATGAATTTTTAATTCAAGCAATAAAACACCTAGAGTGATACAGTATTCAACTCAGTTGAGAAAGGCACAAGCAATTCTAGTACCTTCAGTCACTAAAGCCTTACTCCTGCAATTCCATGTATGTATTAGCAACATAATATGTTGTGATAGTCCTCGTCAAGTCCGAGTTATTTATGGTATTTGTATGTCAGGGCTGAAGTACTTAATGGGTCATTATAATGTAACCTACTTGAAATATTTCCACTTTGATGAAACAGACTTCAGTTGCACTAAAAAATAAAGGATGTGAGAAAAAGTATCTCTCTGATAAGTAAAACCAAACAGCAATAGGGAAAACTATGAAAATAGCTAAACATAAACACATTTTAAAAATTGTTTCAAAAACTGCCATGGAAATTGATAGATTCTTGTTTGACCCCTTTCTCTGTTATTAAAGATGGAAAGCACAATACATAGCCTTGAAATATACTAAGGATAGCATTTTCTTTTAACCAGGAAATATTTTCAAAAAGCAATATAACTCTTCAGTACTTTTTGAAGGAAAAAAGAACTATCTACTTTGTTTTATTCTTCACAAACAGAAGACAAGCCAATTGTAACAACTCTTGTACATTGAAGGCAGCTGGTCTTGGTCACAAACAGACAAATTATTTAAACTCATCTCGTAGTACTAAAAAGCATGTGCTGTCATACCAAGATTCTTCAGTTAAAGAAACTGACACTAACTTGGTATCACTGAAACAATATGTCTATACATATATTTTAGTCCCTTTACCCCAGGCAATATTTTGGAGTCCATTTACATATCTTTAATGAAAGTGAATTTGTGTGATTCTTTGAACTGAGAAAGCTATTGGATTAAAAAACTTGACATTAATAAAAGACCCCACACCCTCATAAAATGAGTACTTACTATTTTAATAAGGTACATGATAGCAAAGACTAACACTGACATAGAAAACAACAATATCCAGACTGGAATGGCCTAGTAATTTTCCCAAGTTTGCCTGAAATGTTTTAGTATATGTAAAAGGATACATTCCAATCACATTGAAAACAATGCTACTGTATATTATTGTTCTGTAGCAAACAGGATATCAAGTGAGTGGATTTAACTCCTAATGAACTTACAGAGGGATGAGAAGAGATGGAATGGAGTCTGAAGAAAAAACGCACATACATCTCACGGAATATCTGATACAATTTGGAAGGTTCATGGTACAGAAAACAAAGTGGAGCAACTGAAAGGATAAAAGAATTATAATTGACTCAACACTGTAAACTGCTAAAAGAGTTCAATGATTAAGCACATGAAGTATGAGGTAAAATCAAGTAATTTATAGTACCACAACTTACAAAAACAGTACTAAATCAATTATTGAGAAAGAAGTATTCAATCACAGTTTATCATTTAATGTAAAAAGTAAAAAAAGGGAGTATGATACATTCTAGATATTATTCCTATATGTTTCAAGAGGCTAAACCAATTAGAACCTACTTACTACAGTGCTGGCTTCAGAACTGTAAGAAATATGCTTATGGAGAAATATGCTTATATGCTCTGTAAGGAGAGCACCCCTAAGGTGTAGGGCAATGTGACCACTGCAAGTTTTTGCTAAAACTGTCTCTAACTTTCAGTGTTCTGAGGCCAGTGACCAGCTTCAAATTGATGCCCTATTTGTAAGACTGCTTGAAGACAGATATTGTGAAAATGAAAGCATTGAAGGAACAGCTCTTGGTTGCCATAAAAACGTCACTAAGTATGACAAACTCATAGAGACATGTTTATTTCTTACAAAATCTGTAAACCATGGACATTTGGTATTTCACTGTTCAGAAGTCTTCTAATAGATCTGATTCAAAATAATAATTGAAAATTACATTTTGTAAAACAGCAGCTTTGAAACTTGGCTTGTTTTGTAAGTCTTGCATTTAGTTAAATCTGTTAGATGTATGTTATATCTGGTATATGTAATCTGTGCTGCTCAAATAGAACCATCATTGCTTGAGACTGACAGTCCATACACTCAATGCATTCTCACAGACAGCTGTCACACCTTTTTGTGAACAGCCTTTTGATCTGTCCAGTCATCATGCTGATTCCTTCACTTTACAGGTGCAATCATTTTAGCTCACAGTTTAACACACTCAGTTTCTATCTCTACATCCACCTTCCACTTCATTTTACTTACAATAAGCTAGGGATATTTATTTATTTATCTGCATATGTATGTATACATACACACACAGATATATGTACATTTTATATATATATATATATATATATACTGATATATGCACATGTGAATTTGTTTTCATATCTAAGAATCAGAGAAGGTGGCTTAAAAACAAAAATGGTGTCTGTGTATGAGAGGTGGGGTGCTAAGGTAGGGTGAGATGTTCACAGAAACACGTAATTCCGTAGGGGTAAGAAAAGCAAAGGGTGTTATCTGTGCTCATGGTTTTAATGTTTGAAGATGGAGGTGGAAAACTTGTCAGTGTGCTCATGTACATAAAGGCCAGGAGGGTAACAGAACAGCCTCTGACAGCTGGCACTCTGACAGTGTATGCATGCAAACTGGAAAAAGGGTATAGGATTTTCATAAGGACCCAGACACTTCCTCAGATAGCAGCACAGCATGGAATAGAGCAGATGCTCTGCTTGATTCCAGCCACTGCACCCACAGTCTTAAGCTACATAACCATTTTTCTGCTGCTTTGCTTTTCACCCTTCCTCTTCTCAGAGCCAGCATATTCTGAGCCTGTGCAAAGAGCGGGGATGGGAAGGAGGGAGGAAAACTCACACCTCTGTTTGGGAGACACTGTTCTCAAGGGCAGAGTCAAATCCAAACATTTTGAAAAGCAGTTCATACAGAACAAGTGAACATCTCTAAGTGAGTCCCTAAGGAAGAGTATGTAAATTAAGTGCTCAATATTCCAAAGACTCTGGATTCCCTACTCAGGTTCAAATTTGCATTTAATATTTCAGTTCCATTATTTTAATGATTGTGTGTGATCATTAAACTTCATTATTATCAAAACATAGCATTTTAAGTATAATCTTAAAACTGCTTGCCCTGTGGTGCTATGAACACCTTTGATAAACCAAAAGAAAAAAACTGAAAAGCCAAAACATCTAATCTCACATCTGAAATAGCTGCAATGCATCTGTAACCCCAGATTTTTTTGCTTTTTTTCCTAAAAATCTTGTTGATATTTGTGCTTTCCTCTATGCAGTAAATTAGCAAGCATTTTATTATGTAATGCTCCTTTAATACCTCTTGTAGGTAAATGTAGAGAACAACAGGCTTTTCGCATTATTTATGTTTTTAAGAACTTTTTTCATGGTAACTTGGTCTACCCAGAATTGAAACACAAGGAAAGAGCATTTCGTTGGTAAACTTTATCCTTCTATTCATATACATTAAGATGTGTAGCTTAGCTCAACTATTAGCTCTCAAAGAAGGAATTCCCTCATGGCAGCAAGTTGTAATATGAGTAAATAAAACAGTCTGAAATTTTAAAAATTAAATTCAACAATCTTCATACACAAAAAAACATTAAAGCACATGCACAAGTTTAAAAGTTGCAGAAAAGTATATACAGCTTTAAACTACAATATGAGGAAAAGCAATCCTGAAGTTTTAGATTATGAGAGTCACACTTACCATACATAGAAAAGCCATGAAAAGGAATTACACCTGCAAAACAAAAATATTTCTTTTTTTGTTCTTTAATAATCCTCTTTATGCAGGCAAAAAATATTTTACCTGCTCACATTATCAAATTGTATTCTGCCTACATCAGGAATAAAGTATTTCCTTGTTATTGCACCTGCACAGATCTCCATCTTGTACCTACATAAGTACAGTTTTGCCTATGTCAGTACAACCAAAGACATGCTTAAACACAAGCTACAGTTCCTAGAAAGTCAAGTAAAGCTCCATTTCCATGAAGTTGTTACACAGAGGCTTTGCTGATATCAGAAACTAATTTCAGATAAATGACAACCCATAAATGTCATGCACTGAAAAGAACGGGGCCGGAAAAAAAGGAGGCCAAGACCTCTAGTAATTCATGTTGTACTCAGACAGAACATTCACAGTGCTTGGCAGTTGTAGCATGACAGCTCACTTCTCCTTCCCAGCTGATTTTAGTTCCCATTCACTAGATTTTATATAAGACTGGTAAGAGACGGCTGCTTTGGCAAAGATTGTAAGAACAATGCTTCATGGCAACAAAGCTGCAAGAATTGCAGAGGCAAACATAGAAAAAAGTGAAACAAAAGTATATACGGTAACTGACTCCACTGAAATACAGAAGACATAGAAGACAAGGCCAGAGATAGATTTAAGATTGGTGATATAAGGCCTTGAAAGCAAGAGGAAAAAGCTTGAACTTGAAATATAAATGGAGGGAAAGGACTCAATAAGGGATTGAAATGGTCAAGGTAAGAGCTGAAAAAAACAATTTTAATAACTGAAGTTATAACAACAGCAATGATATGAAAATGACATAGATCTGTTGTGTCAATATACATTTTGAAAGGAGAAAACTTTAGGGTGTGGTTTGTTAAGTACTGAAAATCTGGGAGGTCAGCCAGTTTCAGCATTTATCATTCAAATCCTCTAAGTGCTGATACAAGACTGAATACAAGCTGCTGTACCACAAGTTATTTTCCTTCTCCTTCCCACACACAAACTCTGTGATCACTAACACCAGGCTGAATGTGGGTTTGGAGTAGCTTCCATCCAGCTTATTCCTTTAAATTAATGAATTTCACAGAGTAATAGCAAAACAATAACTTGTAATAAAAAAAGAAAATATCACATATTTGAGAAAAACATCTTTCCAAACTACCACTAGAGGAGGCAATAGTATAATTCATACCATTTGGAGGATAGAAAACAGCATATTCTTCCATTCCGAGTTTCCCTGTGAACCGTCAAACCACAAAGAAAATGTCATTAAGCTGTAAAAAGTTATAAAGATTTAAACAATTTAAATTAAAAAGTAGATTTTAAGTTACAATTACAAAGATCATAACGAATTACATTACTGACTACCTGACATTGTCTAAAATGTGGCAAGAAATGCAATGGGACAGGTACAATATCAGATATAAAACTGAAAGGCAACACCAATACAGAAGGATGACAAATAACAAAAAAGAGGAGGAAAATTTCAGCAATACTGTTCCATTGAGATTCTATTTAGGTGTGTCTTAGGAGCTCTAAAGTCTGCTGCAGACATGGAAGACAGTGAAACTCTGGGAGGGATTAAGGACAGACTGACCTAGGGACAAGAAAGGCCATCAAACATATACAAACAGAGATAAAAAATATTCAAGGCATCATTAGGTCTGCAACAGAGGAAGATGGATGTTCTGATATAAAAAACAAATATTTAAGTAATCGGCCAGATACAAAAGAATTAAGTCAAGAAAATCACTGATGATATAACTTTTTAATCTTCCAGGCAAAATGAACACATTATATTATTAAACCATATTTCACCCATATAAATTAATAATCCAAAATACATTAATAAAATTTAAACATTTATTTAGAAATATGAAAGTACTATTAAACATATTACAACTAATTAAAACTTGCAATTATTTTAGTTCTAAAATGAGAACATTCAAGTAAAAATTTAATTAATTACATGAAAATATATAGAATATTCTGTGTACTCTATTTACTTTTCACAATAGAATGGAATCTGGATATTGATATTTTCCTATAGCATGAACTGACTAATATAAAATAAAAATTGACCTCCAAAATTCCTATGACCCCATGAAAACAAAATCCAGTATTTTTCAACTACATAAATAAGTTGTTTCATTAAACTAAAAATTATTTTCTCCTTTTCCTTTCAACAGGTTGCTTGTTGTGCAGCCAGGAATTATAATCTGGGAGGATGAGTATTTTTAGCATAAAGCACATCTCTTGGAAAATCAGCTAAAAATAGGACATACGAGCCTTTTGGATTTGCATTGCACAGATTTAGGTATCAGCAACATCATTCTCCAGGATTTGTCTAGGAACATGCAGGATGTTCTCCATTGCTGTGTTTCTGGGCTGCCATGGCAATGTGTCTGAAGTAAGACCTGGGATCCCACTGCTGTTTTGCTCTCAGATGAGCCCTTTGCTTATTTCAGGGAGTAGGTAAAAAAAGTAAAAAAAAGTGATAAAAAGCAAAAAAAAAAGTAATTAAAAATTAGAAAACAAACATTACTTATAGTGACATAAGAAGTAGCAAAATTAAAACTCTCAGCTGAGGTCCTGCACAAAAAAAGTACTTGGGAATCATATTTGGCTAAATACACCAGGCACCAGGACCAAGGAAATAAAGGGTAATGTAGAAGATTAAGGTACCTGGGAAAAAAAAAGTGATTGGATTACTGAATGACTCAAGAAGGAAGGCAAAATTAAGAACCTCTAGGTAAAATCAAGGCAGGTGAAGTTCTAAGACACATGGAAACATCCAGAAGAATGGCACAAGAAGCTGGCAGAAAAGGCATAATCAAGAAATCTAAATATTGTTAAGAAAAATATTGAGACCTCAAGTCAAAGAACATCCAAAAATATGCTAATACTCTGGAAGATGCCATGCTTTTTAAAAAAAAAAATCAGTGCTAAGCATGCTTGGTAAAGCTCTAATCTCCCACCTGTTTGAACAGAGCCCACAGTTCTTTAGCAGCATGTTCTGCTCCTGTCTACAAATATTTGCAAAACTCAGTGCTTTGCAAAAACAACATTCTATAACAACTCCCAGTTGCTAAATTTATTGGTGTTGCAGAGTTCAATATTGTCTATTTAAATGTCTAGCTCTGATGAAGACAGGGATTGTCATGATTTTACCATATTGTTATAGTTGTGTTTTATTTCTTCTGTTAAAACACTGCAAAACTATTACAGGAAAGTGGAGTAAAAGACAACATTGCAATCTTTGATCAGCTTCTAAATTGTCATAATAGAATCTATGCATAAGTCAGCTGGATACAATTTTATTAACATTCTTTAAAGGGTAGTCTACTAGGTGTAATGAACACAAAGCAAATTCACATACTGTATTAGTGCATCAGTCAACAAAAATCTACATGATCTTCTTAAAACAACTCTTTTTACCTTGTATGTATGATTTGGGTGGGGTGGCACTACTGTAAGTAAAGTGCTCCAGGACAGATGTATCTCGGGAAAAACACAGCAACACCTGCAGAAAAGAAAGTCAGCTATAACTGGATCAAAGCAATCAAACCAATGTCAAACAAATTTAATGTCTTAATTAGCACCTATTAGATGCTATTTAAGAGAGCCAATAAGGTTGAAAGCTCTTCACCACCCTAGTTTGTTTTCCTGCTCAAATTTCCAGGCTCGCTTTGAACTTGCTATAATTTTACATTCACCTTCATTTGTTATCAGTTTTTATATCCACATTCTTCAACCCTGCTCCTTCCTCCTCAGCAGGTGTTCATCCCCTTCTGTCACAACATTAGTGACTGTATGTGTACTTGGCTGCTTCTGCATCCTTTAACTGTTTTTCACCTCAGTTACTGTGAACTGGGCATGTCCTAGTAAGTGAATACGCAAACTAATCATATACAGCCCCAAATGCATGCAGCTCTGGAAGAACGTGCATTTGCTTTCATTCTCAGGATCTTTACAAAATGTTTGCATGCAATTCAACTCTTTCAAAAAACAGATTATAATGCTCACCTTGTATCCTAAAGATCAGAAATGCACATTGTGTACTCTAGAGTATATTTGGGTTTTATTGTTTACATAAATGAAAAAAAAACTGTATTCACAGCAACTGAGTATAAAATTAAGCAGTAAAAGCATTCACAGAAAAAAAACCCACTATAAAGAATCTCATCCTATCTGGAGTTGTAAAAATGGTAGTAATTAGTACTGTACTTTAAAAATCTTCATGTTTTCACGCACTGAAAGGCTGCACTGTGAAGAATGTACACAAGAGGGCAGACATAAGGCAGACTTCACTCACTGCTGACTTCTGCACACCCGAACCTCTCTCTGTTGGGGTTTAAGACCAGTTGGAAACCAAGCATCATCAGACGCTTGCTCAACCCCCTCCCTCTCCCTCTCCACCCCGGTGGAATAGGGAGCAGAATCAAAGTAAAACTTGTAGGCTGACAAAAGAACAGTTCAGTAAGTAAATAATGACAAATGATAATAATAATGATAATAGAAGACTAAGGCCAGACCCTTCCCAAACCCAGACTGGCCACCCGATTCCAGGTAACTCCCCCCAGTTTCTATACTGGGCATGACATTCTGTGGTGTGGAATACCCCTTTCATCAGTCCTGGCTATGCTCCCTCCCAGTCTCTTTTGTGTATTTCCTCACTGGTAGAGCATGAGACAAGGAAAAAGTCCTTAGGATAAACACAACTTTCCAACACCTAAAAGATCAGTATGTTATCAACAGCACTCTCATGACCAACCCAAAACACAGTAGCAGCTACTGATACAAAATAAAGTCTACCCTAGCTGAACCCAGGACACCGTGCTCTTGAAGATTTTAAGAGTTTATTTTAACTGTAGTTAAGGTGTAAAAGGAAGAAATATTTCACTACATAACTTATTGTGAATAAAAATTAATGCATTTTTCCTTCCACTAATTGGTGCAAACACCTTCCGCATATCGGCATTTGTCATAAGGAAACAAGCAAAATCACATATCTGACCATTATTGCTTTAATTTTTTTTTTATGGAAAGCCGGTCATATTTTGAGACTTTTTTCTTTTTTGAACCTCAAAACTATTTCTCAAATACAAACATCTTTAAAAAATGAATAATACTTTATCTCAAACAGTTTAGGCTAAATATTATTTTTGTGAATACACAATCATGTTCATAGCTGCCAAAATATCACTGACAATAACAATGCACAGGCAAATGTAATTCTATGTGTATGTTAACTGAGGTGAACAAAAGAGAAACTAATCTGAACAGGACATAAACTATGTTCTCTCATAGGGGAAAGAATGTAACCTTCATTTGAGGCCCTCTTTTTTAGGAATACAGTGTCCAGAAACAGTATCTGGAAGTCTTTAAATGAAGACTGTGCATCTTTGTAAGCAATAGACTCTAGCTCAAACCTAAGTTATGACTATACCCAAAAAACTCTGTGCAAGGTTCTTTGCACATATTCATTCTGCAAGATGTAAGACTAGAGTATTCAAATTTAACTTCTGGCCTGAAATAACGAATTTACAAATTTACTAATCCATGTGTTATTTTTCTCATTAACAAAATGATAGTGCTAAAGAAAACTATGGCACAAACCCCTTTTCAAGTACACAAATATTAACCAAATTATTGGATATTTATAATCCAACTGAAAAGAAAACCACTGAATTCAAATCATTAAGGGAAAGAAAAACCCAAAGTCAAAGCTTTTATCAAAAAGAAATTACTTTATTAAAAATACCTGTATTTTATTTCAACAGGTATGAAGAAGTAATAAAAATAAGTAAACTTTGGGGGAAAAAAAAAGCAAAGGTATTAAAGGAAATAAATGATGTCATTTCACAGTGTTTTTCCTGAAAACTGTTGTATGCTGCTGAAGAGGTACCAATAATGACACAAAATATCCTCATCATTATTTTAAGCCCAAATTTTCTTGTTTTGATGGAAATTTCATCTATTCCACAACATACAAAGGACACATTCTGGTCAATGACTTAAGAAGCAGTAACTAGTCATGAAAAAGAGCCATAAACCCAGTGCAAACCCAGAAACAATGTATCTGGTTTAAACTAACATTTATCATATTAAATCAATAAATAATATCCCACATCACAGTGACTCATACCGCAAAATTTTTCCAGGGGCTATAGAACAAAATAATTTGGCAGTAAGGCATTTGCAAATTAGGTTGGAAGAGGAAATTATCAAAGAAAATTGATAACTTTTTTCTAGAGCAGAGTCTGAAGAATATCACAAAATAGCAAACAAAACTAGAACAACTAATAATTAGACATTTGAGATATTCTCTGCTTCAAAGCCCTGCAGTAAAACTAGCCACATAACTTTTTCAAAGATTTTTGGTGAGTGTCCTTCAAATTACTTAAGACAGTTTAGTCTTTTTAATGATTTTCATTCTGCAGCTATTCTTTTAGTCAGTAGAGATATAAAAAAAGGAAAACAATCAACTGGGTTATATAATGATGAGCAAAATCTATTTCTGATGGTCTTAAAAGATTATATCATATACTAGTTCATACTTCTTCATAGTTTATTACCCCACATCTACTGCAAGTGTTAGTTAATGACTAATTAATGCCATGGTAGTCTACATAACAAATGAAATAGGAATCAGATTTTCACATCCCATGATGAAGACACAGTATTAACAATAATGAAGATCATCTTTGACCATTAAATCAAGAAAAACTCTTACATGTAAGTATTTAGTAAACAAATATCAATGTTTGAGTTGATATTATTCAGACAGTTTGCCAATTTCACAGAATCACTAGGTTGGAAGAGACCTTCAAGATCATCAAGTCCAACCCACGCCCTAACAGCTCAACTAAACCATGGCACAGAGTGCCACATCCAACCTTTTTTTAAACACATCCAGGGATGGTGACTCCACCACCTCCCTGGGCAGACCATTCCAATACTTTATCACTCTTTCTGTAAAAAACCTTTTCCTAATATCCAACCTAAACTTCCTTTGGTGCAGATTGAGACCGTGTCCTCTGATTCTGCCAGTTGCTGCCTGGAGAAATAGACCAACCCTCACCTGACTACAGCCACCTTTCAGGGAGTTGTAGAGAGTGATAAGGTCACCCCTGAGTCTCCTTTTCTCCAGGCTAAACAACCCCAGATCCCTCAGCCATTCCTCACAGGGTTTGTGTTCCAAGCCCCTCTCCAGCCTCGTTGCCTCCTCTGGACACGCTCAAGCGCCTCAACGTCCTTCCCAAACTGAGGGCCCAGAACTGGACACAGCACTCGAGGTGTGGCCTCACCAGTGCCGAGTTCAGGGGGAGAATGACCTCCCTGCTCCTGCTGGCCACACCATTCCTGACACAGGCCAGGATGCCCTCGGCCTTCTTGGCCACCAGGGCTCACTGCTGGCTCATGTTCAGCTGCTGTCAGCCGGTACCCCCAGGTCCCTTTCTGCCTGGGCACTGTCCAGCCACAC